AAAAAAAATTCTGCCAAAAGCAAAAAAAATTCTGCCAAAATCAAGACTACAACCGTGTTTAAAAGTGCAAGGCCAAATGGCAACATTTTCTTAGTCAAACGCAAGGAACATATGTAATGAAGAAATGTACAATAACGTCCAGCCTGAACATTAAATTATAGCCCGCGCTGGAATGCACCAGGCTTGCCGGTGCAATCATGCGTTTTTGCATCGCACTGAAGCACTCGGGTAACGACCCATGAATGGTTGCTACTTTACGTCTACCCTTTGCGCTCACTAGCGTAAATCATCGTAAATTTTGCATAAATAAACGCACAATTTCCGTCCAACGATCGTTCTTTAAAAATGACCTAGCTATTCAGTGAGCAATTTTCCCGCCAAAACTTTTAAATGCCTGTACGTGGAAACCACGCACAAATGGAGGATGTAATTGGGCAGGGAATATCCCCTTAAATTTCAGTTTCCTGGCTTTTCTGATTTCCCATATGTTCACATGTGAGTAACATTAGTACCCGAGGGGGGGTTGAATTTGAAATCTTTAAGTTTTATTGAGGCGGGAAATATACCCCTAAAATTTCAGTCTTCCAGACTTTCCGGTTGCCAAGTTAGCAATTTCCCGACAAAACTTCTACGTGCCCGTACATGAGAACCACAAACGCCCACAGGCTGAATTTGAAATCTTTAGTTCACAAGTGCACAGAGAATGTCCTTGCAGAGTTTTAGCTCTCCATCCTCCCTGGTTCTCGAAATAGCTTTCTTACCAAAAAATCTGCATATTTTTTTAATGCATCCTCACGCGGCACCCAGTCGCACGTGGGTGATGATATTAAAAAGCATATAGCCCTGAAGTTCTAGCCTTCTAGCTTTTTTGGTTCCTGAGTTGAAAGTAGGTGACAAAAACTGCGAACACACAAACACATACATACACAGACAGTCTCTTGCCAATATGCGTTTGCATATATCCAAAACGGCATAAAAATAAACTAGTGGTACACAAGAAACTCACCAGGTCCCGGTCCGCCAGGAGCTGACATAAGGGCTGCGCCCATACCACGGCCTGCTGCTCTGCCCACACCAGATCCACCAAGGCCACCGGCCTTTCCGGACTGCTTCGATTCCTCATCTTTCGGCATGCCCTCACTTGTCATCGATACAATGTGCTCACCGCGCAGTAGCACCAATCCCAGCGGTCGCTTCTCATCCTGCGCAAAAATTCATTGATAAATTGACTTCATCACAGAGCTTTTTTTGAATTTAGCCGCAACTTAATTTCTCCTTTGCCCCTTCTTGTGCTAAAACATAAACAATGGCCCGCAGTACCAAAAAAAAACAGCGCCGTCGAGAATGGAATAAAAAATCCCAGCATATAAAAATTTTTATAAATGCGAAATGTTTTGCCAAGTTAGTTACAAAACACAAACTGATCACCTCGGCAGCCTTCTTGCCCGGTTTTGGCTTTACTCGTCGCAGTTCCTCGCAGTCGCATAGCAGAATGTTCATATGCTTATCGAAAGCTGAAAATATAATTAATTACATAAAGCGCTTCTCTCGCTCACCACTGCTGGCCAACAGGCCACCTCCAGTCGTTAGGCCGGAG